TCTCTCTCTCTCTCTTTCTACGTGATAAATGACCGGGATCCGTGTTCCCCGTGGACACCGGAAACCTTGATCGTACGGGACGCTGTAGGATATCGTGGGATTGATAACGTAAAGAATCGCGAACGCTCCGGCGCTGGATCTTTCCGGTGCGATTCTTCCTCTAAGGAAATTACGTCTTTCCTGTCGAGCCCGATTCGAACAAATACGCGACTCGTTGGGAGGGCCGGGACGCGTAGCCGCGGATACAAGGATGGAGATGCGACGATATTACCGACCAGGCTGATAGAATAGCGCGATCCCAACGGGTAACGGGTAACGGAAGCGTGGGAGAACGGCGGTGGGCAAGGAAAGGGCGGCAAGGGGTGGAAAGTCGTTTATCGAGTCGACAGGCTGGGTGTACCCACGCGCATTGATATGCAAAATTTGTAGTTTCGAGAAGCTTACCAGAAACTCCGGCGGCAAGTAAACTTCAAAATCCGATGCGCTTGTCGGGGCGCGCGGGCGGTATATAACCGGGACGGAGGGGCGGCTTTAACCGGTTCGTGCTTCCGGTGTCGGGTTCCGCGTACGCGAAGTTGCCCGTGCCGCCGGTGAAATACCGTTGATGCGATTCCTGAACGCGACGCGGCCATTTCGAAGCGTTTTAAACCGATGTGGGTCACCGTCGAGAACGCTCCTCGATCTCTTCTTCCCTTTTACGCTCTCGAGGGAGAGAGAGTTTCAGCGCGGGGGAGGGGCACGCCGGGGTTGAACGATGCACTCGACGTCCCAGAAATCGACGCTAGACCTAGAACCTATAAATCTCGGCGTTGGTCTTCAACACACTTTTCTCGGGATCTCTTTGAACTTGTGCCGCGACGATTCGCGGGCTAGTCTGCAGGTGACTGAGGCGCCGCGGCTCACGGGGTGACGGTCACGCGTCAAGGGGACGCACGCGGCGAACATTCGCTCCGTGAATGCGAACCGAGCAAAAGACCTAGGGGTAGCTGTACGCGCCGCTACCGGATAGAAAGGGTGGTTAATTAGCTCGAGTTAAAAGCTCCGCTTAAATGACCTATTCAGCGCTTAGCAACAGCGAATCTGCCCCGTCTCGTTTCGCCTTGCCTCGCTGCCGACAAGTTGCTTTCCGAAGGAACAGCTCGCGAGAGGATCAGTCATCCCCGTTGCACAATGTACGGCGAAATCGTACTAATAACGTAGCAACGTTGTTAATATGTTCCCCGTATCGATACAGCCGACACGTATCCACGAGAAAACGTCTCTTTTCTTCGGAATCTGACGAGTCATCCGAAAGGTTGCGGTGAATCGCACAGTTGGCTGCAATCGTTTTCACCTCCGGTGAAGGTAAATTGGGAAGAACTGCCAGACGAAATTTATTGAAACTTAACCGACGAAACGATAGCAAAAGGGGTGAGCGTCGAAGGTCCACGAAAAACTATTACGATATCGATTAGAGAGTATGGGACGAAAGGAGTACGAAAGCCACGCCGGCGGGCGGGTGTCTAGATGGTCGGCGGGTGGGTTTGATTAGAAGCAGTCGGAAGTTTCCATCTGTTTCCGCGGAGGCTGTTACGCAGTGGGCAATGGCTGGTCGAAATCCATCACGAGCAATCCCGTGCGGGTTTTCGACGCTTCCGAAAGCTCGGTCGGGCGAGATCCGTCGGGAACTTGGCCCGTCTTGTATAGCCCGACGTCCTGATATTCAATCCCGACTACTAATTGCTACGCCATCGTGAATTTCCATCAGCGGATCGCATACCATAACGGACGCCGTGGATTGCGTGGGTCCTTGAATGCGACCAGTAGAATCTGGAGCTAATCCAACTCCGGTGAATCCCACGAGTTCGCGAGTCCCGAGACGATCGAATCGTTTCCGGGGGATGATCCGTCCGCGCCGGTAGGGTGAGAGACAGGGTCGGCGAACAATGACGGGACCACAACTTTCTGTTCGTTAATCCTCGGGATTTATTGACTTATCGGCTCGGAAACGGACCTCTGTTTCTCGTACTCGGTGGTTTCCCGACGGAGGCCATGAAAAACAACGAACCTCGGCTCGCCGAGTCGGTGCCACGGGCAAGGGGTCGGAGAAGCCCTTCGTCGAACGCGTGTGCCGGCGTGCTCGAAGGGTCGCCGGTCCACAAAGCGCTTTATGGTCCGTTATACGACCGCAAGCTCGCGATACCGTGTTCAGCACGGGTGCGCGATCACGAACACGACTCGCCTGTTCCAGGTGCATTCAGCTCGCCAGTGTTTCTCATGCGACAGACGCGCTTTTACGAGGTCCGGTCCCGTGACGGGCCGCTACGCGCGTACTGTTCGTTTGCGCGTCCCTTTGAACTGCTGCCGGTTACGCGCGGCGACCGTGCGCGATGCCGTTGACGATTGTTTTGCGTCGCCGGAAAACGGGGATAAATCTCGAGGATTTATACGAGACGATGCACCCGGAGAATTGAACGCAACGGGCGAACGAAAACAAAGGAGACAAGCGATATTCTTTCCCATTGTCGCGATAAATCAAACGCAAAAGTGAAATCCGGCGGCTTGACGCGGGACGAAGGAAGGAAGAGGCTCGGACTGAGAACCGGCTTGCGCCACGCGCGCATCCGGTACGCTGCACTCTCCGGATGGCGAACCCGACGAGCACACGAGCCCGTGTTTCAGCCGGAGGAGAGGAGAGTCCGTGGACCGTGTTCGGCGCGCGTCGCGCGTTAAGAGTACCGCTAAGTGTGGCCGTGCCGTGGCTGTCAGTCGACGGCATTAGGCAAATTGAAATCTTGCCGGTAGAAGATGCGGATGGCTAGTTTAGGTTCGCCTCTCTGCCCCGGGGTCGGCTCGGCGTCAATCTGCCGCGGTGGTCCCAGCCCCGTCGGACCGTGGACCGTGAAATCCTGGAACGCCGAGCCGTGAACGGCTCCGCGGGGGGCAACCGGGTCGCCGGCCAGTTCCGTGGAACCCAAAGGTCGTACTTCCGGGTCCCTCGTTTCAACCTCCGTCTCCAGTTTCGCGATCCAACCGGCTGTTCGCTCGAGCTTCGCGTCGTCTTTTAGAGATCCCCGACCGTCTCTCGAATTAATGTCGTTTCTCCGTCATCTTAGCGTTCGATTACATTCGAACGTTCACTGTTTCAAACGGAAGCCTTACGAAACTCGACGGGAGCAACGCCACCGGATAAGTTCCGATTTGTCGCGGAGCATCGTGGTGGAGGTCGTCGCCGATCGCAGCAATTAGTTCGATCGGCGATGCGTATCCATGGCCCGTTCTCGTGCCCCGCACCCGACCGATGCCACGACTCGCTTGTTCCCTTGAGCTATTCACCTCGACGACCTACTATTGGTAGTGCGCCGCAAGTTGTTAACCTTAGTCGGCGGTTTAATTACACAGGCAAATATTATCGAACTGACGGAGTTAATTAGATAATTAAAACTTGAAGGGTAAACTACTTCGCTGCGCGGCGGTGGCGCCGCACCGACGGAAACGTCGAGTTGGTTCGTTCGTGCGGTTCGTCGTCGATGGGAGAGGAATGGTGCGACAGAGAGCCACGATTCTCCGTTCGTGTTACGGATACACCTCGAAAGATGGAAGGCGAGATTGACGGCGCACCGCGAATCGTGGCTCTGCCATTCGTTCCTCTGCCTTCCGCCGGGAACTTTCCGTGCGCACGCGGATGAAACCAGGATATCTACCTGTTCCCATTGTAATAGCGGTACTCTTAACGAGAAATTCCTGCAGCCTTGTCTTTTTACTGGCTCGGAAAATTTGCTCCCCCCCAGCGTCCCCCATCACGATGCTTCCGTTGAATTATCGCGTCGCCGAAGGGTTCTTTATCATTCGCCCGAGACGTTTTATCATCGGCGAGACGTCGCGCGGTCGCTCGGCACGCTGCCTTTCCGGTGGTAGGACATCAGGCACCGATGCAGATCGACGAATTCGTGTTGCTTCGTTGTAGGCTCGCGATCCGAGTTTCGTTACGGGGAATTCTCGGAGCAGACTCGCGCCAGCGAGAAAAGTGCGAATAAATATGAGCGGTAGAACCGGCGGCGCCGAAACGACAGGCAAAGGCGGGTCTCGATTCATTAAAGTTTACATTGAGAAAAGCTCCCACCCCGGGCGCAGCTACCAGCGGAGCCTGTCTGAACAAACAATTGCAGC